AATCAGGTCCCAATAGTGTGTTTTTGATGTTGCTTCTATTGCCCGTGGGGTCCGTCTCATAAAAAATTCACCCAGGCCAATTTCTTCAAGTGTTTTCCCTGCACTTTCTTCAAGTATTTTTATGGTTTCATGTCTTAGGTTTAAGTCCTTAATCCAGTGAGAATCTATCTTAGTTAATGGTGAAAGGTGTGGATCCAGTTTCAGTCCTCTACAGGTCCCCAGCCAGTTCGTCCAGCACCATTTGTTAAATAGGGAATCTTTTCCCCATTCAATGTTTTTAAGATGGTTATCTTAATTCCCCAGACTTTCTGTCTTTTCTATAGTCTAAGATAAGAATAGGGAATATTAATATTATTGATTAATGTGGCGTACGTGACTAGCTCCTTATAAAAGGAGTCACAAATAAAGATGATTTGTTACGTGCCACCCAAAAGTGTGTAGTCGTTTCTTGCTTTCATACAATTCCAGGAGTAAGCTTGCACCTGTGGCCAAGCTGTCCGGCTCTCCCTGTGAGAAAATTACGATCCAACAAAGAAGACTAAAGAAAACCAAAAGAGCATCAGTGTCCTGTGTTACATGAACAAGCAACCTAAAATTCTAAAACCCAGAAGAAGAGAGAACACAGTGGATAGGAAATAAGTTTGAAGACATAATAGCTGAAAAAACTCCAAATTTGTTAAAAACTGTAAATACACAGATCTAGTAGCTTGAAAAACCCTAATGGGAATAAATGTGAAAAAAATCACAAGCCACATCATAAAATATTTGCTGAAAACCAGTGATATAAAACTATTAAAAATAGGCAGAGAAAGAGAAAATATACCAAGAAGAACAAAGGTAAAAATAACAGCAGACTTCTCAGAGAATTATGCATGACAAAAGGCAATGGAGGGATTATAATACTAACAGGAGGAAATAATACTGTCAAGCTAGAATCTATACCTCATGGATGAATCCCCACGAGGTATAGAATTCTACACCTAGCATGAAGGTAGCATGAAGCATGAAGGTGAAGCAAAGATTTTTTACATAAATACTAAAAAAAGCAAAGTTAAAGGAATATCTTCAGACAGAAGGAAAATGCCACCAGGGGAAAATCTGGAGATACACAAAAGAAAAAAGAACATCAGAAATGGGAAAATGTGGGTATATGGAAATATACAGTTAGTAATTTTAAATGTCCTTAAAAGATGAATGACTCTCTAAAACATAATAATACAGTGTGAGGATTATAACATATGTGGAGGTAAAAGGTATGATGATAATAGTACAAAGGCCAGGACATGAGAAGGGAAATATATATATTATTTTAAGATTATTACAGTACACTAAAAGGGATATAATATTATTTGAAGGTAGATTCAGATGAGTTAAGCATACATATTATAAACCCAAGAATATGCACTAAAAGAGTAAAACAAAGACATATGTTCAAAACACCATAGTAGAGATAAAATGGATTACTAAAAATTAATCCACTCTAAAAAATGCAATAAAAGATGGGGTAAAAACAGCAAAGAACAGATGAAATAAACAGAAAACAAATGCCAGATATAGATTTAAACTCCACCATATAGAAAATTATGTTAAATGTAAATACTTTAAGTACTTCAATTAGAAGGCAGAGATTATTAGACTAGATAAAAAACAACATCTAAATATATACTACCTATAAGAAATCCACTGAAGTATACAAATGAGAAGTTAAAAGAAAAAGAATGAAAATAATTATTTATAGCCTAATCAGAAGAAAGCTGGTATGGCTAAATTAATATCAAAGTAGATTTCAAAACAAAAATCAAAGATAAAAAGATAAATTTCATAATGATAAAAGGGTCAAGACATCAAGAAAACTTAACAATCTTAGATGTGTTTGTATTTAATAACAAAGTTTCAAAATACATGAAGCAAATACTGATAGAACTGAAAGGAAAAATACATTTGTCAATAACTGTACAACTCATCATACCTTCCAGAGATTAATGTCACAAAAATGCAGTAAGAATATAGAATACCTGAACAAAGCTATGAACCAAATTAGGCTAATTAATGCCTAGAGAGTACATCACCCATAATAAGCAGAATACATTTTCTTTACTAATATATACAGATTATTTACCAAGATAGTCCATAGGCTATATTCGGGGTCATAAAACAAGTCTCAATAAATTTAAAATAATTAAAATCATACAAGTCATATTCTCTTTCTACAAAGGAATTAAATTAGAAATCAATAATATAAAGGTGTTGAAGATTATCAAAGATTTGGAAATTAAACATCTAAATAGTCCAAGGATCAAGGAAGAATGTATGAGAATGAAAAAACATACAATTTTTTTAAAGAATAGGTCTTACTAACACTCAGAGACCAGGCCAGAGTGCAGTGGCCCAATTGGCCCACTGTAACCTTTAACTCCTGGCCTCAAGCAATCCTCCCGCCACAGCCTCCTGAGTAGCTGTGACTACACATGTGCACCACCATGTCCAGGTAATATTTTTATTTTTTGTAGAGATGGGATATCACTATATTTTCCTAGGCTGGGCTGGAACTCCTGGCCTCAAGTGATCCTCCTGCCTGGGACTCCCAAAGTGCTGAAATTACAGGTGTGAGCCACTGTGCCCAGACTAAGAACATATTTTGATGCAGGTAAAGCAATGCTCTGAGGAAAATTTGTAGCTTTAAATACTTATATCTGAAAAAAAACAAAAGTCTGATCAATTTCCTAAGCCTCTATCCTAAGACACTAGAAAAAGAAAGGCAAAGTAAACCCCCCAAAACAAAAGACTGAGAATAATTACTAGCAGAAATGAAAACATCATGCTGACTGAAATAAACTAGACAGAAATGATTACATATGCCGTGTGATTCCATTCATACAAAATAAAATTTAAAAAAAGATATTGACCTAAAATGGATGAGTAATTATCCAGGGCTGGGGGCTGAGTGAGCTGTTACAAAGGGACAGGAGGGGACTTGGTGTGGTGACAGGAATGTTGTTTGTCTCTATTGCTCCATCATAGTAGTAGTGCTCCAACTCTATAGCTTTGTTGAAACTCATCAAAATGTATAAAATGGGAGAGTTTTAATGTTGTAAATTTATCTCATTACAGGTAATTTTAAAATACATACTCTAGGGACCATTAATAAGAAAATTTGTCCTTAAATAATGCACTCTTCCTGCAAGTGGGCCAGGATTATCCAGTGAGCCATCACATACCCTCCAGAGGAGAGGAGAGGTGGTTAATAGAAGAGTCAGAGGGGGCTGCCACAGAGCAGGTTCCTAAATGCTTTGCATTCAGGGTGAAGGCAGTCATTTATTTCTGTTCGGCAACTGAACAGGATGATCCTAAGGATGTGTCCAGTGTGAAGAAGTAGAAATAAAAATGTCTAGATGGCATCTAGATTTAGGGAACAAACAAAGTAATTTCCAGCAGGTGGTAGGAAGTTAAGGCAAAACCTAGAGGTGATGATTCACAGAGGATGAGCGAGAACAGAACGGCTCACAGTGGCCCCAGCCTGGTGAGCCAGTTGAGGCCAGGATTGACCTTCCTCAGGACCAAAAATCTGTTCTTTTAAACTCACTGAGTCTTTTTCCTCTTAGCTTTTAGTCAACCCCCCTATAGAAAATCTAGCCTATCTCAGGGAATAGGAAGAAAAGGATAAAAGCAAAGGGATTTTTATCTATGTTTGGATAGTGTGTAAAGCAGAGAGTATTTCCCTTAACAAACAGGCCAAGCTGGGGCTGCTGTGTGGCAAAGCTAAAGAGCCCACAGCTGAGAAAACAGTGCCTTGGGAGCGCCGTTCACCGACATAGCTTGCTGTCCCATGAGTATTTCCTGTATGTGTTCTTCAAGCATTTGTATTCTGTTTATGGGGATACTGGTATAAAGTGACTACGTCAGGGCAAAGCCAACACCACAGGCATAGTTATTGCCCAGACAGCTGTTATAGGTTGAACTGTGCCACCCTCCCCCATACATACGTCAAAGTCCTCACCCCATAGGGCCTCAGAATGCGAACCCACTTGGAAACAGGGTTGTTGCAGGTGTAATTTACTAAGATGAAGCCATACTGCAGACAGGCAGGCCCCTTCTCCAACACTACTGACATCCTTATGAAAAGGGAACCCAAACACAGACACACACAGGGAGAAGCCACGTGAAGATGACAGCAGAGATGGCACAATGTGGCAGAAGCCAGGAAATACTGACAATTCCAGAAAGCCACCAGAAGCTGGAAGGACAAACCTCACAAACCTCACAAGAGCCCAAACCTACCAACATCTTGACCTTGACACAGGACTTCTAGCCCCCAGACTGTGAGACAATAAATTTGCGTTGCTTAAGCCACCCGGTCTGTGAACTTCATGGCAGCCTTAGAAAAACGAATCCAAGTTCCTCTGTGTCTTTTGTGCAGATCAAAGGGACGGCCACTGACCACCCGAGAAGTTGCAAAGAGATCCAGCAACTCTGTGCTGCTGATTTAACCTGGATAGAGGCTGGAAAAGCCCCTGGAATGTTGTCTTCACAATGGTTAAAAAAAAGAAAACCAAGCAGGTGCAGAAGAAAAACCACCTGGACTTATTTTCTTACCAAAGTCCGGTTACGCCCACCTTTCTAAGAGTATTTTATCATGGTGCTAGTTTCCACTGGGGTGGAGGAGATGAAGCACAGTAGAATTAGAATAATAGAAGACTCGGAATAATTAAGAAATAAAGTGCACATCTTGCAAAGAACCAAGAGAAAGCCCTTCTCTCTGGTATGTTTACTTTCTCTGTTTCCTTCTGTGTAAAAACAGTGCCTGTCTCACCTTGAATTTTAGTAGCAGGGTTGACTAGGAAATCCTGGCTCCTTGTTTACCCGTGAGTTTGACTATAGATTCTAATTCTGAAATTCAGAATCTCATTAACTCCAAGTATCATTCTAGGCCTCCTCTGCCCTCTGCATATAATGAAAAAAGGAGCATCAACAGGCAGGAGCCACATAAGAGCGCTTCTTACCTCCATGCTTGTGCTGAAGGCTCTAGTAACTTTGGCTTTGATGGTTATAACTTGTCCAACTCTAAAGGAAAAAAGAAAGATCTCAGTAATCGTACAACGTTTCATTTCAGACTTAAAGATTTCCTTAAGTGTATGTGCTATAAGGCAGTTCCATCTCATCATACTGATAATGTTCATGCTTGGAAATCCCAGGTTAATGACCATGGAAAAAGGCAATGCTTACAACCGAATGCTGAGCATTGTAAGCCCTGCTTACGACACTAGCTGACTACCTCTATTCAAACAGAAAGGGGTTTTGCAATATGACACCAAGTCTACAACAGATAGTTTGACTGTCTAGCAGCTGTTTTCCCCTTGTGAAGCTAAGACAAATACACCAGCGAATCTCTACAATGGATATTTATTTTTAAATGATAGTTAAACAAATAAATAAGCAAATAAGCAAGCAAGCAAGCAAAGTGATCAGCTTCACTAGATTCACATGGGCTCTCAACGCCACTCGATCTATTCACTCCCCACTGCTTCTTGAACTTTGATCATGTTACACAACCAAAAATTTTGTGTTTGGGCCCTTTTGCTACCTCTGCTCCCTTCACCTTAGCAGAAAGCTGATCTACCCAATATAAACCCCCTCGTTTTTTCTCCCTTAACTTCAAAGTCAAACTATATTCTCACTGTTCTTCTTACTTCTGTTTCAGGGGAAAGTAGATTGCTTCAAGACCTAACCTCTTTCTCCCTTCCCTTCCCTTCCTTTCCCTTCCCTTCCCTGAGACGGAGTCTTCCTCTGTCACCCTGACTAGAGTGCTCTGGCATCAAAGCTCACAGCAACCCTAAACCCTTGGCCATGAACAATCTTCTTGCCTCAGCCTCCCAGGTAGCTGGAACTACAGGCACCCACCACTATGCCCAGCTAATTTTTCTATTTTTAACAGAGACAGGGTCTCACTCTTGCTCAGTCTGGTCTTTTGAGCTCCCAAGTTCAAGCAATCCACTTGCCTTGGCCTCCCAGAGTACTAGAATGACAAGCGTGAGCCATGGCACCTGCCCTAACCTCTCTCTTTCCCTGTGCCCTTGGCCCATCCTCCAATTGCCCTTTCCTCCTCCTCTCTCATAGGCCATGCTTGGTCAGCTCTGTCCCTTCTCATGCCTTCCATCTCTATCCTTTCCCTCTCAGCCTGCAAACATGGTCAAGCTGCTTCTTCTTTCTAAGTCTTTTCCCCAAACTATTTCATCTCAAGACTTTTTTTCCCTTCTACATTTCCAAACTTCCTAAAAGAATCATTTATTTTTCTAACTCACACCTTTAATACATGTCTACTGAGTTATGCTAGTCATGATGAACAAGACAAGGTTGCTGACTTCAAGGAGACCAGTCTTTCTTTGGGATACCAGGATGTAAACAGATCAAGTCCAAAGGATTACAAAAGAAATATTGATGATTCATTAACAATAAACCCTTGTCATTAATTAAATGAAGAGCTGTTTCGCAGTTTGGCCATATTAACAACAGTGACTACTCTTTATTGAATGCTGTGTATAAATCAGGCACTATGCCAAATGCTTTGTATCATAATCTAACAACACGTCATTTGTGATGTAGGCATCATTTGTGATGTAGGCAATCATCTTGTGATGTAGGCATTATCATTACCTCCAAGAAATGTGCTCAGGTGGTGATAGAGCCAGCAACTGGCAGGCCAGAGTTCAAACCCTGGTCTTATTTGATTCTAAGACCTTGAAAAAAATTACCCTACTCAGGCTTCAAGTAAAAAGTAGCAATTGATACTATTTTAATCATGATAGAGAGGCTTGTCTGGGTATATAAAAGACAGTCTGTAAGATGAATCAGTTGGGTTTACCTAAAGAGTGACCACACGAATTTATATTTCTTGCCCAGTTTTATTAACACTTAGTCTAATTTTACTAGTTTAAAAACTGATAAAACCTATAGAACAACCCCTATGGAGAAGAAATTGGCAATGTCTAATAAAATGAAAAAGGCGTTTACCCTTTGACTCAATGATCCTGCTACCAGGAATCTACCCCCAAAATATACTGTCAAAAATATAAACATATATCTGCACAAGCCTCTGCATTGAAATGTTATTTTAACAGTACAAGACTGGAAACAATCCTAACATTGCTATCAACAGAAAACCTACTGAATAAACTGGGGTGTCTATCCACACAGAACTTTGCAGCTATTACAGGGAATGATGAGTGTCATCTACAGCCATGAATAACTTAAAGACAGGTCTGTGTTCTGATTTCATTGTTGTGCAAACATAATAGAATATATGTAATGCACATCTAGCTGGTACAGCCCACTGCACACCTAAACTGTGCAGTACTGCCAATTGCTCCTAGGCTACAGACCAGTACAGCTTAGGACTGTACTGAGCACTGCAGGCAATTGTAACACAACGGTGAGCATTTGTGCATCTAAACATAAAGCTGTTTGTGTTAAGTGCCCTGTACAGATGTACCATTTTTATCTTTTATACCATATTTTTGCTGTACCTTTTCTACATTTAGATATGTTTAGATACATAAATACTTACCGTTGTGTTGCAGTTGCCTGAAGTATTCAGCACAGTTCCATGCTGTACAGGTTTGCAGCCTAGAAGCTGTAGGCTACGCCATATAAGCCTAGGTATACAGTAGGCTGTACCATCTAGGTTTGCTTAAGTACATTGACATGTTCGAACAATGCTGAAATCACCTAATGATGCATTTTCTAAATCTATCTCCATTGTTAAACAATGCATATATGGAAACATTTATAGACGATGCCTGGTGTTTGCTTTAGAATAATCTAGGGATGTTAGGGAGTTGAGAGGGGTGTTGATAAAATACAAATGACTTTGGGTTGATTATTGTTTGGTTTTTGTTTTCATGGGACAGAGTCTCACTATGTCACCCTCATTAGAGTACTGTAGCATCATAGCTCACAGCAACCTCTAACTCTTGGGCTTAAGTGATTCTCTTACCTCAGCTTCCCAGCTAGCTGGGACTACAGACGCCCGCCACAATGCCTGGCTATTTTTTTGTTGGAGTTGTCGTTGTTTAGCTGGCCCAGGCTGGGTTTGAATCTGTCAGCCTCTGTGTATGTGGCCAGCACTGTAACCACTATGCTATGGGTGCCAAGCCAGGGTTGATTATTATTGTAGCTGGGTAATGGGTCCTTGGGATACACTGTATGATTCTCCCTACTTGGGTGTATATTTGAAATGTTTGTGTTTCTTGAAATTTTTTACAGTAAGAGATGATAAAGGGCATAAGCACTCCCACACATAAAATGTTTTCAGAATTTTTTCTATTTAGATGAATTAGTGTTTACTCAACAATCTAATGATGAAGTTAACCATTGTATAGATATTTATTATCATTAGTTATTCTTCTAATGGAGGAAGGAGACATTAATAATTATTTTAGAAAAAGTCTGCTATGCCTTCGACCACAATGCATCTCATGCTGAGAGCTATTTCTAAGTAAATGGAGACCACAAAGTTTACTAAAAGTCAGCCATATGATTGATTATATTTCAACTTATTTACATAGTATCAAATGTTATTTTATTAACAAACTGGATCACCGACTCCAAATGAATAAGCTCAAGTGTGGCAAATATGGAAGTTGGATAAAGTTTGTGAGCTCATCCTAGAAAAAGTGGCACATACCCCATTGCTGAATATCACTGTGGTCATCTTTCAGGTACCCCACTTGGGACACTATGCCCCGACACCGGCACCACCAGCGCCTAGTCCTTTTTCTTGGAGGAGCTTGTGAACTTAATTGTAGCCTCGACTACAATAGCTCTGATGGCCATTCCAGAAAAGGAGTTCCAAAATTGCTTTGAAGGGTGGACTAGGTGCTGGCATTGGTGCAGAGCTTCCCAAGGGCAGGATTTTGAAGGTGACCATAGTGATATCCAGCAATGACCTAAGTAGCACTTTTTCTAGGATGAGTTCAGGAACTTAATGGTCTGACCTCATACATGCTCCAATGAGTCAATGCAGCCAGGACAAAGGAGTGATGGTGCAATGCCACTTACCTAGCTGTCTCCTCAAACTGTATGTCATCCATAGAGGCTGTGACACAGGAAACTCCAGCATGTTTTTCAGCTTCAGAAAATAAGTGAGAATATGCTGCATTAGTATTTAATAGTTACGTTTTAACGTTTCAGTGTTAGAAGAAAGGAGTACAATTCTGGTGGGTTTATTTTAGTAATTCATCCTTTCACTCATGATAGCACTACTGTGCCCACACTTTTTGGTGCATCTGGCTTGATAAAAGTTTCTTGACTCTGTAAGTGGTTTCTTACAGAGTGACTCTTGATTCTGTTAGTGGTTTCTTATAGTTGCGTGGCAACTGTGCTCTCTCCCAAGTTTTAACTTACATAATCTTTTATCTGAAATTCAATACCAATACGCAGCTCATCTAGCTGTTTAGATAGCAATTTTAGTAAGTTGGTGCTGACTTTAAATATCTTGTCAGGTATTACCCTTCTTGCTCCCTCTCCATTCCTTTCTCCCTTTCTTTCTCTTTCTTTCTCTCATTCTCTCTCTCTTTCTCTCTCTCTCTCTTTCCTTCCTTCCTTCCTTTCTCCTTCCTTCCCACTTTCTTCCTTTCTTTCCTTTCTTTTCCTTCCCTTCCTTCCTTCCTTTCTTTTCTTTTCTTTTTTTGTTTGTTTTTTTAGACAGGGTCTTACTTTGCCCAGGCTATAGTGCCATGGAGTCATCATAGTTCACTGCAACTACAAACTCCTAATAACTTTCTTAGCATCAGGGAAAGAGAGATAGGGAAATAGGAGGCATTTAGCTAATATTTATTATTACCAATTTATACCAACTTCACTATGGATTAATTAGATAGAGGAAGAAAGTTTTGAGTACCAGAGAGAGATTAGAGTGGACCTTGTTTATTTCCATGTTCTATGTCTGCTATTAATTTGTCCAGAACTCTTTTTTGATCGTTGGTTTTGCTTTATATACAAATACCAGAACTTAAACTCTTTGGGAAAGATTTTGACATGTGTTTCTGCCATATTTGATTTTGAGAAGCAAGCAATTGAAACCCAAACAGATTGCATTGACTTTAAGAACATCTAAACCCATTTTTGTTGTGGAGACTTCCCTACTGTTGCTGTATTATGAAAAAGAAAGAGATAGTGAATTATACTGAATTCATATTCCTTATCTGTAGTGGATTACTATAGTTGTAATATATATCAGTTGATAGTCTCAGGTAATGAGAGGTGAGAAAGTACTCCAGAAATTTTACACGTTCCTTGTTCTGCTTTCTGATCTGATTCTGCAGAGAATTGGACATTCAAATTCTACTACTTGTAAGTAAATGTTCTTCCAAATGTGCACATAACATGAACTGAGGTACCAGACAACTAAACAGAACTCCGTGTATGAGTGAGGGAGCGGGAAGGATGGGCTTTCTAGATCTAAAGTTCAGTGAAAGGAGGGGAAGACGGAAGCACCAGCCTCTCATAAGGCTCAGGATGGGCTCAACTTCATCCAATGTACCAAACATTTGCTAAGTTCTTGCTGACTTCCAGACACTGAGAGGAGCCAGTCTCATCTTACAAGCAATCAGTGGCACTACAATGGCAGATAAATGTCCAGCCCTAATCTGAGCCCTTTTTAGAGCTTTCAGTTTTCTAGAGAACTACTGAAATCTTCCTAATATATACTATAACACTTTGACTAGTAAATACTCCTAATAAATATTCCCAATAAGCATTAATTTCAATCACACAACTTGAGAGAATGGGATATTGAGGTTACTAAACTATTTTTACTGGTAAAGTGTTATTATGTACACAAAATGAACTATCAATTTTGAATGATTTAAATGATAAGTAAAAAGCAGTAATCAATACAAGATTAAATTTGTATTATATAGTTTGGGTATCTATCATGTGTATATAGCATTATACTAGATTGCATGAGGAATTAAGAGGAAACAAAGTCATAATAATAATTACATTTATTAAGCATTTATTATTGATAGATACTGAGCTAAGCATTTGTGCATGTCAATTACATAAGATTGGTACTATTATTTGTTCCATTTTATAAATGAGAAAATTTAGCCTTAGAATGATTAAACACATGGTTCCAAATAGTGATTCTGACTATAGAAGCAGCAGGAACTTTCAAGAAAGAGTACCGAAGACTAACCAGGGAGCACTGCCAGAGAAGGGCCTGGCTGAATATGAGTTTCATGGGTTCAATAGGCATGGTTTACACTATTATTTACATTTAGTTCTCAATGATCACTATAAAAAATAAAATAAAATGAAATAAAATAAGGAGAGACCAATATAGGCTCCACAGCTTTTACTTGTATTATGTGACTTTTTCTTTGTTTTTACAAGTGAATCAGATATGAATTCAACAGGACCAGCTTGTTCTAGTTCTTGATTTTGACTATTCTTTATATAGTGTGTTATAAAAATGGAAAACCAAAAAGCTGTTTCTGATTTTCCAGGGAAATGCAGAGAAGCTGAAAAACAATAGTAGACTAGCTAAATGATTATAAGCAGAAATGAAATGATGATGGATAAAGATAATGTTAACCTTCCTTCATTCACTCTCCCAGCTGGTACTGATTGAGCCCCTGTGCTATGTCAGCCACTCCGTAAGGTGCTAGAGATAGAAAACAGCCGTGGCATCTAGTGGAGGAGCTAGAGATTAATTAAACGGATGCATAATGGCAAAAGGAGTTTGTGCGCTGAAGACAACACAGATTTTATGAGAATCAGTAACTGAGAAGCCAGGCATAGTAGGATGTCCAAGAACACCTCTATATGGAGAGATGCTTCAGCTAAGAGTTCAAAGATGAGTAGGAATCAATAGATGGGGGAGGGGAGGGGATGGAGGGGAACAGGCTGAGCCGAGGGAGGGAACAGTCACTACAAAAGTCCTGGTGAGGGCCTCTGCGACTGTAGTGCAGAGGGCAAGAGGGAGTGTAGGCAGAAAGAGGCTGGAGGGAAGGCTGAGGACAGGCCCATGCATAGGGTCTTGAAGCTCTTGGTTGACAGTTTTTGTAATTACTATTTTATTAAAGATGCTGCTTCACTGTCTTCTGATCTCCACTGTTTCTGAAGAGGTCAGTGGTAATTCTGATCATTGTTCTCCTATATAGAGTATAGATAGTGTTTTTCTTTGGCCATTTTCAAGAGATTCTCTTCATCATAGTTTGACTATGATATGCCTAAATGTATTTTCTGTATTAATCTTCCTGAGTGTTCTATGATATTCTTGGATCTGTAATGTCTTTCACCATATTTAGGAAAAATTCAGCCATTATTTCTTAAATATTGAGTTTTGCCTCCTACTTTGTCTCTTTTACTTTGGTGCTTTAAGCACATGTATATAAACTCTTTGTATAGTTTGGATTTTTTTCCCCCACAAACATTTAATATTTTGTTTATTTTTCATATTCACTTTTTGCTGTTCTCAATATTGGATAATTTCTGTTGATCTATTTTTGCATTTGATGACACTTTTCTCAATCATCTTAATTTTGCTTTTAACCTTTATCCAGTAGGGTTTTTTTTTACTTCAGATACTGTATTTTTCAGTTCTGAATTTCCACTGGTTATTTTTTTTGACATATTTAAGTGACAATTTATTCACACATATACATAAAGGCTAATTATACATTGGGAAAGGTTTATCAGAAAGGGTTTTTTTTTGGGGGGGGTTGCTTTTTATTGTAGGGGAATAAATGTGCTACAGTTCCTTTTAAAATAATTTTCTTAAGTAAAGATATACTTTCATGACAGTAGAAAATAAATCGATTCATTTACCTACCAAAGCAATAAAATGTTGATGTTACTTCCTAAGTTAAACATACCTGGCAATTCTCAACTACTTTCCAAAAAGACTAAGGAGCTAGGTAAAAAAGTGAGGATTTTCCAGCTTCCAAATGATCAGGTAGAAAATGCAAGCCATCAGCTACCGAATTAGTAATAGCAAACTCCTATCCTTTTCCATACTAGGTACTGTACATAATTTACATACCACAATTCCACCTTTAACCAATAAATGAGTTCTATTTAACCATTATAAACTGTTAGGTCATGCTGACTATTCTTTTAATGATTTTAGGCAAGTAATTACAGATACAACAATATAAATGTTGATTTCCTAGATTTAACAATTGCTAAAAAGAGTTTTCAGAACTACATTAGATACTAATGATAGACCTACAGAGGCTAATTTTAAAGTGCCTAACGGGGCTTAATAAATCCTGCAGAAGTCTCAGCCTCTGCAATATCATCATAAGTTAATAGCTTTATAAATCATAAACATTAATATGGGACAATCTAAGAAAAAAACTCTTCAGGTGGCATCTAGTTTCTTATAGGCTTCCTCAATGGGTGTTACCATGTTCTTAATCTGGGAGGAATTATGAAGAACATCCAAGTCCTTTAGAAGAGCATTCTGGTTTGGAATTAGTGACAGAATTTCTTTCTGAAGTGTGGGTGCTTTGAGACTCTTCTGAGAAAGTTCTGGAAGACAGAGTACACTCCTACTATCCATTTGAAGCCCTTGTCTTAGTGTCTTCTCTTCCTCTTCTACCTCACTTTCCAGAATTTCAATTTTGTTCTTTAGGCTCTCAATATCCTCAGTCATCGATTCTGCAGTCTCTACCATTTTTTCTATTTCTTCCTGCAGTAATGCCAGACCTTCTTTATTAGCTTGCTCCCGTGCCCCTTCCACATTTAGTAGACTTGACACGTGAGTTAAATCCTTCAGCTTTTCAGGAGGGACTTCCAGGGTTTCACAAAATTATAGCAACCTTTTTTTCAGTAAGTTGAGATGACACTGTATTTCTTCTTTGTCTCGACTATTACTCAAAATTGTTATTATTACTGATTCCATTATTGTTTGCAAATGCTCTCTGCTACTCTTTGAACGTGGTTGCCAGGTTTTCCTTTTGTTGGGTGCTTTCTTTATCTGTTTTATATTAGTATGCTTTGTTTGTCCTTCAGAAGACAGATGGTTTGGATGATTTTTATTTCTTTTTCCTGTGTTTCTAACCTTTTTCTCTGACAACTCTTCATCATCATCAGTTTTTCTTTTTGAATTTCTTTTTAATTGTTGAGACTTTTTCTTGGAAACATGTGGTTTACCAGGCATCTTGATCACTAATTTCTCAGGAACCCTTCCGTGAGCCACGCTCAGGATAATTCGTGCCCAAACAATTGAACACAGAGGAGACCCCTGGTTATTTTTTTGTAGTTTATATTTATTTGCTAAAATTTACTACCTTTTTATAATTTCTATTTTCTCAGCTGAAATTTACTACTTTTGCGATTTCTTTCATATTTCCATTATATCCTTGAGCATAGTTATAATAGCTGTTTTAGAATCTTTATAGGCAAATTCCAGCATCAGTTTCAAATAGGGATTATTCTCCACTGATTATCTTTTCTCTTAAGAATGGATCATGTTCCCCTGTTTCTTTGTATGTAAAATAATTTGCAATTGTATCCTAGCCATTATGAGTGATCCATTATAGAAACTGTTTCTCTGTAAAGTACTCTGTGGCTTTGGTTTTTGTTTTTTAAGTAATTAACTTGACTAAACTCAAACTATAAAATTCTCTCCCTAGAGGCAGGCTCAGGTCTTTTCAATTCTTTTGGTCTTAGCTAAGAGGTTTGGAATCTGTCCTATGTGTACATGAGTCAAGGTTTGCTGGATATCTGGGCAAAGATTATTGATAGATTTTAGGATTCTGCCTCTCTGGCTTTTTCCTGTCTAGAATTTTACTGTTCACTTTACAGTACCTGTGTTTCCCCCTCAAACCCTGTCCTTTGACTTTTCAAACCAACAAGCCTACGAGTTTTCTATCTGAAATATAGCTAGGAGTAGACTGGAGTTTTCCTTCAGGCTTAAAGTCATTTAAAAAATAAAAAATAAAAAAAGTCAGCCAGTACCATTCTCTTCTTCTAAGTGTTGACTTCCAAGTGTTCTAAGCCTACTTTTGTTCACTCTTCAGTTTACTTAAGTTGCTTTTAAAAAATGTTTGTCCATAATTTATGGCTGTTATCTGTGGGAGATTTTTTTTTCTGATAGAAGATACTTTAACGTGCAATCAAGAAGCCTTACAGCTCTTGATAAAGACTATAGGGGAAAATGAACAAAACGTGATATGATCAGATTAGCATCTCTAAAACTATTTTGGATACAGCATGGAGAGACCAGAGTAATGCAGAAGAACAGTTTGAAGACCACTGCTGAAGTTCACATGAAAGATGATGGCAGTTTGGACTAGATGGTGGCATTGGAGCATGGCAAAGTGGTTGGATTTGAATGATTTGTTTAGGAGGTAACCTTGATAGGATGTAGTTCATAGGATTGAGTATGTGGAGGGGGAAGCAAGGTAGAGAGAAGTGTCAAGGATGACTCCTAGACTTTTGAATTGAACAATTAGATGTGGCAGTGCCACTCATGAGAGGGCAAACCCTTGAAAAGTTTCACAAATAAAATAGAGAGGAAAATGTTCATTTGAGATATTTCAAAATAAGAAATGGACATGTGGAGTAGAGAATGACTCACATGGCTTCAAGCCTTTAGGCTTAAGGGACTGGAAAAATAATGAGGCCATTTACAGAAATGAGGTTTAATGTCAAAGTGATAGTGAGAATATTTAATCTTTCTTTAAATATTGAGAAGACATTTTGGAATCTAGCAGTGCTTAGGGGTCATGGCAATGCTTTAGAGCCATGACTGGGATCATTATTTATCAAAGCAATGTGGTTATATAGAAGTGCTGGTCTATAAAAACTCTGACTGGGAAAATGCCAGAAAAATCAGTTTTGTATTACTCCAGAGACTTGGTTATATAATGTCCTAGGCTGATGTGGTGGCTCTTCTCACCAGAGGGTGTTTAACATAGGCATTATCTATGTTTCTCAAACCAACTTTACCATAAATATCTCTTTAATATTAGTAATATTAATTTGACTAATTAGTTATTATATTACTAACAGTAACATAACTATATCAAGGTACAGAGTAGCTGATTGTCAATTGGATCTCTCTATGAGCTACCTGAGTTTCCGAAGGTGTCAAACTATAGAAACGATTGACAACTGCAGGAGGGAACCTGTTTCTCCATTACAGGACAGAGCCACTCAGCAAGGCAACTTTAAAAATCACTCCAGTAGTCTCATAATGAATTCAGTTGCCTTGGAAACAGGAATCATGATTATTAGCAATGACAGTGGTTTCTATACTTGTTTCTCTTTCCTACATGTGGATTAATTTTACATTCTTGTTTCCATTGTTACGTTATTATAACCAACCTCAAATACTGTTAAAAAAAAAAAAAAAACTAAGACAGGAACCAAACACATCTATCAACAGAAAACAAATAAATGGATTGACTTTGAATACATAACTGAATAATTATTGTTATAATTATAATACCGCAGGTGGTTAAGATACAGGGGACTAGAAACTCTATTAACACTTATTGAGAAAAGCAGGAAATCATCTAAGCTTTACATTTGCCATCTGTAAAACAAGAGTTCTGGGATACACAATCTTTTAAACCCCCTTCCAGAGCTAATATTTTGTCATAATGTATTTTACCTTCAAATGTATACTTGTCAAGTCCATTAAGTGTCTTATGCAAAGTCTGGCTTCCTTTGGGAAATGAGATTCCAATTTCTGGACCTATTCATCCATCCATCCACACATTCATATAATCAGAAGGTTTTTATTTAGCACGTACTAGGTGCTAGAGAACTAGCTTTAGTTTATGTGCTAATTGGCCAGGCAGAAAATAAGCGAACAGATTAACATACAAAATAATCACAGAATATGCTAAGTGATATGAAGGAAGTTGGAAAGGGCATTTTGAGAAAAGTGGCAAAGGGGTGAAAATGTAAACAGGTGGTCAGGAATGGCTGCTCTGAGGAAATGGCATTTATGCTAAGATGTCATACATGCCAATGGCCCAGGAAAGAGTATAAAAGCCAAAAGAGGAGCAGGAGCCAAGGTCGTGAGCAGAAGAGAGCTGGGTATGTCCTGGGAAGCATTTAAAGGCTGGTATTGCTGGGGCATATGACCCAGGAGGGGAGACAGGAACCATGTCTGTGGCCTGGCCCCTGGTGCAGGCTTGTCTGGGCAGCATGAGGTTATAGTTTTTGTTACTATTAATATCTTCTGGTAGGGCACCCTCCAGTTTACCAGGTAACCTTCACTCCCGGAGGCCCTAAGCTGGCCTTGGACTCATCTCACATTTTATGTTTACCTGGCCAACCTCTCAGAGAATGTGAGTTTCTAAGTGTAAGTAGCATCTGTAAGGAGTGGTACAGGGTTTTGATTTTATTTAAATATGATGAGAAGCCATTTAGAGGTTCTAAGCTGGGGAGTGGTGTGATGTAATTTCTGTATTTAAAGTTCACTGTGCCCTCTGCACAAAGAACAGATCCCAGGGAGGTAGGATAGAGAAAGGGTAACCAAAAGCAGTTTTGCAGAAATGAGGGATGGCAGGGCTTACTGGTATCAAAGATTGTATTTATCACTGATCTGAAGATGAGAGTAGTAGGCAAAAGGCGTAGGGGATCCAATTCTCAAAAATACTGGCCCATCCAGCCTTTCAGTTAGAAAATCATTTACGTCCTAACCTGCAGGGTTGCCATCCCTAGCTGTAAGACCAAGTCAGGGTTCCAGTGCTGTGGGAGAGATCCTGAGGCAAAATCTGTTTCCATATTAATACTAAGGTATCTTTGTCCGCTTGGGGAGCCATAACAGAATACCATAAACTGGGTGGTTTATGCAGCAGAAATTTACTTACAATTCTGGAGGCTAGAAGTCCAAGACCAGGGTGCCTGCCAATTTAGGTCCTAGTGAGGGCTCTTTTCCTGGCCTGCAGATGGCAACCTTCTTGTTTGTTTTCACAGCAGACAGATCAAGCTCTCTGGTGTCTCTTCTCACAAGGACAATAGTCCTGTGGGGATTCCACCCTTATGACCTCTTTCAACCTGAATTACTTCCTTACTCCAAATTCAGCTGCACTGGGAGTTAGGGCTTCAACACATGACTTGCAAGAGGGTGCAACTCAGTCTATGGTGACTCCCCCCCAAATCCCATTTTCATTCTTAATTTGCTTCTCACAAGAATACAGTGGAGGTTTCCAGAGACTACATAAGGGTGTGGTAGCAACAAGTTCAACGCAGAAGCAGATATGGAAGTGAGCAACTAAACCAGAGATTACAATTAAGGAGATTTGCAAACATGTAAACTATTACTGCTCCTCTAAGTACACTTTGGTTACTGACGAAAATGCAGTGATTTTTAATAAAAATACGTTATATTAACATGTAATAGGTTTCTTCTTGACAAATGAATTAAAAATTTTAAATTTCGAATATGGTAAATATGAATATAAAAATAACCTACATAAACAAAAACTCTGTGGGGTCCTCGTTTATTTCACGGGATGGTGTTCTAAGACCAAAAACCTTGAGCGTCACCGGCTTGGGTCACTCCCAGTGTCAGAAGAGCTATCTCTGTCGCGTCATCACCGTCTCTGGCCACACAGGGACCTGACTCTGTAAATATCCTGCTCATTTTCCTTCTCTCCCGGCTCCCCAGTCTAAAGGTCCCAGCTCATCGCAGAACCAGCTCTTAGTCCCCCTGCGCCCGCCCAGTTCCCGACCCCCGGCCCGGCGCGCCCCCGCCGCTCCCTACCCGCCAGGCAGGCGGTGATGTCGATCCACTTGAGCAGCTGCCCGGCGCTCAGCTCGCCGCGGGCGTTGGCGTGGGCCGGCTGGACCGCCTGGCTCATCAGCACCTCGCCGGGCGCCCGCAGCTCCATGATCGGGGCCGCAGCGCCAAGCCCCAGTCCCGGGGAGCCCAGCTGGGCCCGGCCTACCCGCCTGGTCCAGCCGGTCTGGTCCAGCCCGCCTGGTCCGCCCCGCTCCAAAGGGCACCTGCGCTGCCTGCCCGGACCGCGAACCCTGTCCCTCTGGGCGCCAGGTGCTCTGAGAGAAGAGAGTGAGTGCCCGCAGGGACGCTCCAGGGCTGTCCCTAAGGGACAGCCAAGAAGAGCCCCAGCCTCTCACCAGTAAAGAAGGGTCATAGCACTTCTCTCTGAGGACCCTGGGGACAGTTGAGACGTTGTAGGGCGCTCATAGGACGGACCTGGCTGAGGGGATACCGGGCGTTTGCTAAGTACATAAATACACTCACTGTCCCTCGGAAGAACTTAGGAGGAAGCACTGGTAAGAAAAGAATAAATGCTTTCCAGAGAACATAAAGCGTTAGCTTTAGAAAAATGATCTGACTTTTGCTTCGTTTGTTTTTCTTGGTTGTTGACTCAAGCCCTGGTTCAAAATCTACCTTCTGATTCTTAGGATGTTATAATGGTGCCAAAGGTCATTTTGTTAAGATCTGCCAAAAAAAAAAAAAAAAGAAAAAGAAGACGAAAAGGCTGGTGCATGTAGATTCATCAGGATCACCCAACAAGAGAAAGTAACATTTAAATTTTTATCTAGCAAATTTAAGATTAAAAACTGTCATCTTGTTACTAAGGGTCCCCACAAAAACCAAGAAGTTCTCTTCTGTATGGGAAACAAAAACTAGAGTATTAAATGGGAGCTTTTGTACTCAGCCTTTAGCATATGAAGCTGTCGGTACACTTTGTAGAGCTGCAGTCGGTGACTTTATAAAGCAGTCCTCCTTGGGGAAAGAGCCACACAGAAAACTTTGGCATACTATAGATTCACAGCTGTCTGACTGACTGTCAGGGCGGGCTACACTGGGGAGCTCACTTATGGATGCAGAACCGGAAGCCTGGAGAAGTGAAGCAGCATGTCCAGCACACAGCTGAGGTGACTGGATCTGCTGAGGGACCAGGACCAGGCAGGAGTCCCAACTGTCCAGAATAGCTTACTAAGAAACCTATATAATAGCTCACTCTAACAAACTGATGGTGTCTTTCATCCTCATCTCTCTGGGCTGCCAAGCCCCAGCAAGGAGATCTCAGAATAGAGATTCTGGTAAATGTTCTTCCCCTTTAAAAGATTTTTTTATGAAAGAGGAGAAATAAGGAAACATTGACTTGGTATCTTTCAGCAGCACCTGGGGATAGTTCCTCTGCAGATAGGGCCATCCACAAATAAGAATTGGATGCAGCTAAGCAAGGATGTAGTTTGACTTTTATAAAAAGCAAAAGTAACTTTTCGGCTCGGCGCCTGTGGCTTAAGCGGCTATGGCGTCAGCCACATACACCTAAGGTGGTGGGTTCGAATCCCCAGCCCGGGCCCGCCAAACAACAATGATGGCTGCAACCCAAAAATGGCCAGGCATTGTGGTGGGCACCTGTAGTCCCAGCTACTTGGGAGGCTGAGGCAGGAGACTCGCTTGAGCCCAGGAGTTGGAGGTTGCTGTGAGCATGATGCCATGGCACTCTACCCAGGGGGATAGCTTGAGGCTCCGTCTCAAAAAAAAAAAAAAAAAGTAACTTTTCAAAACAAATTAAAACTTGCGTATCCAAGATGGCTTCCTCGTAAAGCTATAAATTTATTTCAATAATAGTGTTCTTACCCACATCACTTTTGGCACTTCTCTATACCTAAAGAGTTCTTACTGTCCTCTTTTAACTATCTTTTATATTGACAAATCATCATATCATAGAAATTGATGGATAAGAATTTTCAGCAATTATTCACTCCATTGCTGATAATTCTGTGGGAGGCAATTACTGATCTTGCACTTGGAATGGAATGTGAAGAAGTAGCAGTCGATGTACAAGTTCTAAGTTTCACCCTCAGAGGCACCACCCTCTGTTCTCAAGAACATCTGACCTCTGCCATGGGAAGATTTTATGCCTATGAGCTTCTGGGTCCCAGTCTAGATTTACATATTCATGGCCTGAAACAGAACCACCCAACAGACATGAAGATTTCTTTTTTTCAGGTTAATGTTAAGGTACAAACCACCAAATCACAATTTGCTAGCTAGAGTCCCTCTTGTAGTTATGTCCTGTACCCCAAAAGTGTGCCACACACTCCTACATTGCTCCCATTCAGGGGAGCACCTCAAACTCCCTCTTTCATTCCTCCTCCCCCCAACTTGAATTGAAATGAGTTTTTCTCCTACGTGGGTGTGAATTAGATCATCTACTGGCTTTATATTAGTATTGAGTACATTGGATATTTGCTTTTCCATTCTTGTGATACTTTACTGAGAAGAATGTGTTTCAACCCATCCAGGTTAATACAAAAGATGTGAAGTCACCATCTTTTTTATGGCTGAATAACTATTCCATAGTGTGCATATACCACAGTTTCATAATCCATTCCTGAGCTGATGGGCATTTAGGTTGTTTCCACATCTTGGCAATTGTAAATCTGAGTTGCAATAAATAAGCTAGTGCATATGTCCTTATGATAAAATGATTTTTTTTTCTTCTGGTTAGATGCCTCATAGTGGGATTGTGGGGACAAATGGGAGGTCTAATTTGAATTCTTTAAGGATTTTCCATACTTCTTTTCAAAGAGGCTTACATTAGTTTGCAGTCCCACCAACAATATAAAGGGGTTCCCCTCTCTCTACATCCATACCAGCATCTACAGCTTTGGGATTTTGTGATGTGTGTTAATCTTACTGGGGTTGGGTGACATCTCAAGGTGGTTTTAATTTGCATTTCTCTGATGATTAGGGATGATAAGCATTTTTTCATCTGTTTGTTAGCCACTCATCTGTCTTTTCCAGAGAAGGTTCTGTTCATCTCTCTTACCCAATGATAAATGGGATTGTTAGTTCCCTTTTTTTTGGGTGATTAATTTGCATTCTCTATAGATCCTAATTATCAGACCTTTATCAGATTTGTAATATGCAAATACCTTTTCCCATTCTGAGGTTGTCTATTTGCTTTGATTGTTGAGTTATTAGATTGTTGTGTTAGTTTGTGTTGTGTTTAATTAAGTCCCATTTGTTAATTTTTATTGTTGTTGCAATTACCACAGAAGTCTTCTTTATAAAATCTTTCCCCAGGCTGACATCTTCAAGAGTTTTTCCCATACTCTCCTACAGGATTTTAATCATTTCCTGCCTTAGATTTCAATCTTTTATTCATCTTGAATCAATTTTTATAAGTGGTGAAAGGTGCAGGTCAATTTTCAGTCTTAAATATGTGGTTATCCAGTTGTCCCAGCACTATTTATTGAATAAGTATTCTTTTCCCCAGTATATGCTTATGTTGAGTTTACCAGTGATCAGATGGCTATAAGAGATGGTTTCATCTCTTGGTTTTCTATTTGGTTCAAATGTCTATGTCTCTATTTTTGTGCCACTACTATACTGTTTTTGATCACTGCAGACTTGTAATATAGCCTAAAGTCTGGTAGGGTGATGCCTCTAACTTTGTTTTTTTTTTTTTACTAAGAATTGTCTTGGCTATATGGTTTTTTTTTTTTTTCTGATTCCACACAAAACAAAAAACTATTTTTTCCATAACTTCAAAGTATGATGTTGGTATTTTAATGGGGATTACAATGAATCTGTAGATTGCTTTGGGAAGTATAGATATTTTAACAATGTTGATTCTTCCCAGCCAGCAGCATGGTATGCTCTTGCATTTGTTAATGTCTTCTGCTATTGATTTTCTTAGGGTTTCATAATTCTCTTTGTAATGTAATACTTTCACCTCTTTTGTGCAGTATATTCCTAGGTATTTCATATTCTTTCAAGCTATTGTGAAGGGAATTGGGTTTTTGATTAGCTTCTAACTTGGCTGTTGATGGCATATACAAAGGCTACTGATTTGTGGACATTGATTTTATACTCTGAGACATTCCTGTATTTCTCGATTACTTCCAGGAGTTTTGGGTTTGAATCTCTGAGGTTTTCTAAGTATAAGATCATATCATTGGCAAAGAGAAAGAGAGTCTGACATCCTCTGCCCCCATTTTGATGCCCTTTATATCCTTCTCTTGCCTGATTGCATTGGCTGGAACTTGCAGAACTATGTTGATGTTGAATAGTAGTGGTGAGAGAGGACATCCTTGTCTAGTTCTAGTTCGAAGTGAAAAAGCTTTCAGTTTTACTCTTTTCAGTGTGATATTAGCTGTGGGTTTGTTGTAGATCACTACAATCAGTTTAAGAAATGTGCCACCTATGCCTATATTCTTAGGTGTTCTTGTTAGAAAAGAATACTTAATTTTATCAAATGCTTTTCCTGCATCTATTGAGATGATTATATGGTCTCTGTTTTTGCTTTTGTTGATATGGTGAATTATATTTATGGATTTGTGTATGTTAAACCAGTCTCGTATCCCTGGGATGAAGCCTACATGATCATGATGTATTAATTTTTTTAATGTGCAGTTGTAATCTATTGGCTAACATTTTGTGAAATTTCATTAGTGAAATTGGTCTATAGTTCTTCTTTTTAGTTGGATCTTTTCTTGGTTTTGATATAAAGGTGATGTATGCTTCATAGAATGTGTTGGGGGCAGATTCCTTCTTTCTCAATGTTTTAGAATAGTTTCTATAGTATGGTATAAGCTCTTCATTGAAGATTTGACAGAATTCTAGTGTGAAGCCATCTGGTCCATGGCATTTTTTATTGAATGATTTTTTGTTGTTTCTGTGATCTCAGTGCTTGTAATTGGTCTGTTCAAGAGATCTATTTCTTCTTGATTAAGTTCAGGGAATGGGTGTGATTCCAAGTATTGGTCCATTTCCTCCACATTGTCAAATTTCTGAGCATAGAGTTTTTTTAGTAGTCAGAGATAATCCCTTATATCTTAGTGGTATCTGTCATTGTTTCTCCTTTTTCATTTCTGATTGAAGTTATTAAAGATTTTGCTTTTCTATTTTTAGCTAGTCTGGCCAATGGTTAATCAATTTTATTTATTTATTTAAAGAACCAGCTGTTTGTTTCATTAATTTTCCA